ACCGCAACACCATTTCATGAAGGGGACAGCCTGTGTGTGTGTGTGTGTGTGTGTGTGTGTGTGTGTGTGTGTGTGTGTGTGTGTGTGTGTGTGTGTGTGTGTTTAAGTGACCGTGACGCAGGGCAGATGTGAGTGTGTGTGTGTAATCATGAGTGATAACAATGAAAAACTAGAAGAAGAAGACTCTGACAGTCATAGGAACTGAACGGGGGTCCTCTGTGTCCTCTCTGTGTTTGTGGAGACGCTCAGAAAGACCTGGATCCTCACAAAGAGACAGTGTGTGTGTGTTTGTGTGTGTGCTGGGGACAGGTTGTGTAATTATGAGATGTTGGAGGGGGTCTACATTAGCCAGCTGTCACTCCTCGCCCCTCACCCCATGTGTGTGCTTTAAGAGAAGCCTCGGAGACGGGCCTTGGCGGAGCACTGCTGGTGGTTACACTCACAGATTGATAAGTTATGACACCTCCTGTAACCTCCTCTGCCCTCCCTGTCTGTTAGTATTCTCACTCCGGTGTGTCAGCGTGGAGTCGGTACAGTCGGAGCATCTTTAAGCTGCTGCGCCATCACACCAGGCATAAAGTCAGTGTATAAAAACTTGTATTTCCATAATTGTCCACTGAGGGAATGAATGAGAGAGGAGAGTCATCCAGACCCAGACCCTGTTCATCTGCAATATGTCATCCATCAGTGCGATTAGACACTGACAGCAACACTGGCTCTATTCGATTCTTTGTATTCATCTTCCATGAGCGATGCGTCCTCTCAGCTCTCTGGTGAAAATGACATTTCATCTGTGCGTTGGAGTGACATGAACTCTTGGACAATCTATCGTACTGTCTTCTTATGACTCCAGGTTGTTATTTACAGTTATTTTTTTCTAACTTCCTGTCTTTTAAAAAATTACATAAAGTTGTGAAAAGAATCTAAAGAGGCAACTGACTTTATATTCAACGCATCTCTGTACTGTGTAGAAGGGACATTAAGTCAAGTTAGGTGCAGGCTGTACTTCAGTGTTGAATTGAATCAGGAAAGTTGTAAGAACCTATTTGCATGAATAATCCTGGTTAAAGGCAGAGCCTCCTGAACAGATATAAAAACATACCCAAAGATAAAATGCTGCCCCCGGTGGTGAAAGCCTTACGACGCTTTACAAAATGCTTGTTTGGGATTTGTCCTTGTTAGCAGACAAACAAACTGATTCATGCAAATGCAAAAACTGCACAATGAGCTTTTTTGGCAACATGATACCAAATAAATCAGGAGCATTTACAGTAATTTTCCTGGAGGCATGAATGGTTTGGAGTGGAGGAAACACTGTTTTGGGCTTTAGGATGAAAACCTGTCACAGATGTTTGGCTCATTCGAGGGATCTCCCTCAGTTTCTTTCATTTTTTGCTTGATCAAAGTATTCCCATACATGGAGCCGCAGCCTGATTTCATGGCTTTGAAGTGGCACAATCGGCTATTTTTAGCCCGGCTGTTAGTTTCAGCTGATCAGCTCGCAGAGGAGGAGCGCGTAATCCCCAACTTCAAGTACAAACAAGAATGTGGCCAAACTCGGAGCGCTGAGGGTTCTTGTTTTTTGGCCTTCATGTCGAGGCAGCAGTAAGATGATGAAACAAAAGGGAGAAAGCCTGATCCATCTGTGTCTGCTTTCACCCCCCGACACTCCTGCTGTCACGGGTCAGTGTTCAGTCACCAGGCAGGGACAAAGGAGGAGATGTTGAGATGAATGGAAATGCGGCGAGTGTGGCAGAAACACACACACACACTCAATCTCTCTTTGTAATGTCATTAGTGGAGAAGCTGCTTCCTGCTGCTTTGATCTGATCTTGACTTTATCGAGGTGACCCGGTACTGTCTGTTCTTTATCTCAGATTTTTGTGGATTCTGTACTAAATTCAAACCCAAAGTGAATTAAAATCTTAGAATTTATTCTCAACGTCACAGATGTGCCGTGGATTCATCGTGATGTGTTTTTAGGTCAAACTTTCCCCCTCTGGAATACATTAATATTTGTCCTCTTCTGTTGATTTATGTTTGGTCAAATTAACCATGTCTTTGCTTCTTTCCCCTCCCCTCCTCCCTTCCTCCCCTCCTCTTCTCCTCCCCTCTTATCCCTCTTTGTTCTCGGGGTCACCTCCCCCCCCCTCCCCCCACAGCCAGCTCCTGAAGAAGCGTTTGTGGAGCTGACGGAGCGAGGAGCGAGCCTCACTCACAGTTGGGCTGTAAAGGAAACAGACACACCCACCAACTTACTGCTGTTTACTCCTCTCAGCTCTCCCTCAGCTCCGGGCGGTCCCTGGAGTGTGTGTCTGCCTTGGTGTGCGTGGGTGTGTGTGTGTGTTTCTTTATGTGTTGATGAGTGTGTGGGTGTCTTGCATCACTTTTGATGGGACATTGAAAGATGTGTGTGTCACAGAGTCGGTGGATGGGCTGCAGGGGGATGTGCTCCCCCGCCCTCCCGCTGGTCCTCCTCCTCCTGCTCCCTCTGTCCTTCCTCTCCTCCACGCCTCCGTTTGCTCAGGGAGCCATCCACATCCCCGAAAGCTGTGAGTACTCCCTCCTCCACCGCACACATCACACACTGGAAAGTGTTTGTTTTTTCATTTCCAGTAAATATTTCCAAACCGTTTCCTCAGAATTAACAGGGCTGGGAAGTATGAGGGAGGGAGTATTTCCATATTTGGCTTCTCTAATCATATCATTACTCTTTGAAATTAAGTATCAGGTCAGTAGATTTCTGCTGTAGCCACCAACTTTAATTATTTCATACGCACCGGGGGAGGAGTCTAAACTACCCACGAGCCTCTGATGCAGCGCTGTGGAGAAGAACCAGAACTATGGATTTCTTTTTTCTTTAGCCTTTGTGAAGATGTAACGTTCAACATTTGATGCGTTTGGTTGAAATGTTCGCAGAGACGTCAGGTCAGTTCAGGTTATTTATGTCGCTCCAACTCACAAGGACAGTTACTTCAAGACACTTTAGACTCTAAAGACCCCACAGTATCCTGTGAAAATCAACCCCTCCCCATACGATCAGCACATTGTGACAGTGGGAAGGAAAAACTCCTTTTTGACAGGAAAAACCTTCCTGTAGAACAATCGGTTGTGGAGTGAGGGAAGAAAGAGAAGAGAGAAAAAGAAAGCACAGGGAGACATCGTCTGTGAGATCATAGAGCTCTGCAGTAGCCACAAACTCTCCTTCAGGGTTGTCTCCTCGAGCACCTCTGGACCAAAGCTCACTCTGACCACTGCGACGTCACCACAGACCTCAGACTCCAACAAAAAGCTGCTCGCCTTTCAGGCATCTGAGGAAAAACCTTTGATGGAACTGACCAGAAAGGTGACGCGTGCTGATAGGGGGCCGTTTAAAGGTGGATCCTTTGGTTCCTGCACAGTAAAGTTCAGTAAAGCTCTGGTGCTGTGTTTATTCCTGTCAGATATGGAACTTTCGAACACATCTAAGCACAAATATAAATCCAAACAATCAGGTTAGAATAACCTCTGGTCCTGGAGGTAAAGGTCAAAGGTCAGCAGGCTTATCACACTCCTAGAGGAGAGGAGGGGAAGCGGGAGTCAGAGGAGGAATCAGGTTCAGTCTGACCTTCGGTAAACAACCTTCTTTCTGGGTGTGGCAGGAGAGGAAGAAGAGAAGGATAAGAGGAGGAGGAGGAGAACGATGGGGGAGGTGGAGAGAGGGGAGGGAGGGGAAGGAAAAGGAGACACGGGGAAGAAAACATAAGGAGATGGATGTAAAGTGACCTGAGACGCCAGTGTGTCTGAGTCAGAAAACCAAGAAGGAAGATAAAATCCCTCAGATGTTGTCACTGTTAATAAAAATCCTGTTAATGAGCAGATCTTGTCCCGCTCGGGGAACAGCATGAAGAATGTGCCAGCATGTGTTTGTTCAGTCTGTAAACGTTTCCTTTCTGCTCTCCTTTCACTGCTTCCCGTGGACACAGATACAAAAGACAACAGTAAGTGATTTTCTTTGTCGCTGTAATGAAGAAATGTGTGTCGTGTCTGCAGCTCTGACGTGCTTCATTGGTAGAAACCTGCTCCGGACGTCTGTTTTTATGCTGCTGACTGTGTCTCGCACCTGCTCACCTGCACCTTTCCTGTTAAATTTGTCAAAGCAGAACATCTCTCCCCTGCATCACTCCACACAGACACTAAGGAAGAGATCATGTCCTCTATATTAGCTCATTTAAAACTGATTTAATGTTATTTTGAGTATTTTTCTGAAACAGATGTACGGATATTTGGAGGGCTGAAACTGCCACATTAGTCATTTCATTGTATTTCTGTATAGTTCTTGTGCAAAAGTCTTGGACCACTTTTCATTTCTCTGTATTTCTTGGATTCGGTGCAGCAATTTAATGAAATGTGCAAACATACATAGAAATGAACATGACAGAGTTTGTACAGCTCCAACAAACCTGAGTAAATGTTTGTCATGAGCAGCTTTATTTGTCAGCACAAACTGAACTCTGTCCTTTCAGTATGTTCAGGAACAGCTCTCCACAAGCACAGGTCGACCAAAGTGTTGTACATGGTTAAAAAAAGCAGAACAAACACACACAAAGAACAAAACAAAAACTCAGTCATAACTTAAAGCTGGTGAGTAACAGTGTGTTGTCAGACGGGTTTGAAGATGTTGAGTGTTGGAGGGATCCTAATTTGAAGAAAGTTGCCCAAAGTTTGGGCGCAGCAATCACAAAGGTCTCCCCTGTGTTTCAGCCTGCTTCAATCAGAAGCTACTTATCAGCTGACCTGAGACTCATTTATCTACAAAATATTTTATTGAAATATACAATGTCACAAAATGTCAGACTATTCCATTAAAAACTGTAGTTTTTAATTTTTGCTGTTATTATAGGATGTTTATCTTTTTTTATTTTTGAAACAGTGGCTCCTGTTAACCACGATGGTTTTAGAGGACCTGCCAGAACTAAGAATGATGAATGAGCTTCAGTCAATCCCTCTAGATGTGTCTCGATCTGTACGCCCTACTTTACCTGCCTGTACTCTGCCAATTTCATTACTGTGTGTGTGTGTGTGTGTGTG